GTGTGTGTGTGTGTGTGTGTGTGTGTGTGTGTGTGTGTGTGTGTGTGTAGGATTGCTTTGTTTATTTGTTTAAGGAACCAGTTTGATCTTTTCCCCTTGTACAAGTACCTGGGTATTTTTAGTTTTTGTCTTTTGTCTCTCTTTCAGTGCTGGTGCTGCATATATCTTTAATACATTAATTTGAGACTCAGGCATGTACTAGCTTCCAAACAAGCTCTTTCTAAAATATTGAAATAATAAGTTGTCATTTTTCCTTAAATTATCAGTTTTATTGTGCCATTTATTAATTTCTGTAAAAATATTTGTGAGTACTTACTATTTACCAGCTGTTAGGTGGATGTAAGGATACATACATAGCATCTAAAAAGTGTAATAAAAATTTTCACAATCTTTACCTTCATGGAACATAGTTTAGTCATCTTTATAATTGGGCTTAAAATATATTAATTGATTTTTTAAACATCATTTTCTCTAGGTAAAGAAATATATGGTACATTTAAAATATAAAACACTGAATATTTTACATACTTAGTATATTAATGTAGCATTTGCATTTATTTCATCTTGTAAGAAAAGATTTCACTAATATTGTAAATTAAAGTTATTTTCACCATAGTTTAAATCAGTTTCAGATCATGGCTTATAGTGTTAATATTTAGGATCAAAATAATCATGATTATGTTGTAAGCATAATAGTGTACTAAGTAAAAAATACTTTGAAAATTTTTTATTAAAAATATTTTAATAACTAAGACCTTTTATCAGTAATTTGTGGACAGTATTCAATTGGCTTTATAAAAAAGGTACAATTATTTTCTGTACAATTTTCATTTTTCCCAACATGTTAAGATATAGACAACATGTATAATTTAAAAACATATTGATGTTGAATGAGAATTCTGGATTTTAATATAATAAAATGATATAATGAATAAATTAGTAAATAAATGTACATAATTGTTAGATAAATTGGTGATAGGAAAGCTGCTTATAAGCTACTTTAATACTGTCTTCTCTTACTGGTAGCAGCCATTCTTAGTGAAGGAATATTCTTTTTCTTCTTTTTGGTACCCTAAAGCAGAAAACACATCTTCATTTCTATAAACAGTTATATTTTTAAGGAGTACTTTATGGTGTTCGCAGAAAGAAGAGATTTGAAAATCATCACCAGTTAAATTGGGAGTCATTTTGTAGCATCTTTTTAACAGCTGTTTGACCTCATTGATTCTCAGTTCATAAATTTTATTTTGAACACTTTTGTCCCAGCACACATGCTAAGGTGTGAGAAAAATTCTTTTTTCCACCACTTTCATGTCTCAAGTTTATTGGGAAAATATTTTCTAGCTCTTCCATCACTTTGGACCATGTCTTTCTCAGAAATAAGTTTTTAAATTTGAAGAATTCTTTGGTAAAACAAAATTTCAGCTCCTCTAAATCAGTTTCTTTTCCCTTCCCTTCCCTTTGAGAGAGAAACACATTTGTGTTTTGGTATTTATTTCGTAACCAAAATTCTAAAAACTACCTAATTGTTCTCTAGTTTCACTGTAGTCTTGAGTCCCTATTTTGAGCAACTGTACCTTCATCGTTTATATGTTTGTCTTTGCTATTGCTGAACGTTGTTGTTTCAGGGTTATTTTCTTAAATTGGCACAGTATAGAGCACAAATACTAAAGGTTAAATATTTTTGTAGTCATTGTTCTGTTTATAAAAACTGCTAACTTTACATTGTTAGATTGTTTATATGTTGCTTTAATTCTTCCTTTTTCCTTTTTAATTATACTTTAGAAAACGTTGGGGATAATGTACTTAGAAACTGTACTGTAGATTAATATTACTTATCTGATTTTAAGATTATAAAAGAGTATTGTTCCCTAGTATCATTTAAAGCTTATATAAAATTTATTAGAATAAATAATATAACTTAGATATTTTGGTTAAATAGTTCATATTTTGCTGACTAACATCAACAATGTCTTATTATGGCATACTTAACTCTTGATGTACTATTTAGAATAAGTCTATCCCATTTATTATCTCTATATTTTATATTTCTTGCCATGTTAGGGTGTTGATGACCAAAGTAAATAAAAATATCTTTATAGAATAAAATAGGGTAAAATAATTTTATGTTTTTATTTTCCTGAAGAAGAAAAAAATTATCTTCATATTAGGAATGACATGACATTGTCAGACTTCCTGAGTAAAATTGATATATTTATTTTCAGCTTCATTAATTTGTGGATACATGGATAAAATACTGTATTTTAAATTCCTATCTATAGTAATACAATTTAAACTTCATTATTTCTGGAAATCTGAATACTGTTCAGTCCAAGATTTAATTGAGATCTTTCTAGAACCTCATCTCATGAGATTAAATTTCTGTAGGGAAAAGTTTCCAAAAGAAGAAGATTCTAATGCCAAGCCTTGGAAAACAAGTCTTGACAGTATGTACACTTATTATGGATAGGAATAGCCTCAGAATGTCCTTGATACAGCATTGCTGTTTAGAATCACAGAGTGTCCTAATTCATATCCATGTAATTAATGACATCTTGATTATAGATGTTAGATAAGGGAGATTTTCTCATAGAGAAGTCTTCTGGGGCTATAGTACCCAGAGGGCATCTCCATGGAAGAGTTACAACTAGTTGAAACCCTTGAAGGATACAATGAATTTTATCAAATATGCCAGGTAGAGGGAAAGAAGGAGTCAAAGAAGGAAGGCAAGTACATTTAGAGACCTAAGCATTCTTCTTGTTGTATCAGAGGATTGATTACAAGGGCATAATGAGAGAGAGGTAGGGAAAAGCGATAGAGATGACCTTGTAGAAGTGTTGAATTCCTGGTTAAGGAGTTTGTGCTTCATTGCCTGGGTGAATGGGGCGGTTCTGAGCATTTCTGATCAGGTTTGCACTATTTTTGGAGAATTAAACACCATGCCAAGCATATAATAGGTGGTTGAAGAGCACAGATTGTGGTACTAGGCTGCCCGGATTCAAATTTCAGCTTTTCCACTTACTAGCAGAATGTCTTTGGTCAACAGAAGGTACTTAACTGTCTAAGTTTCCTAATCTGCAGTATGGGAATAATAATTACACCTACCTAATAGGGTTGTAATGAGGATTACATAAATTAATGCATGCAAAGCATCTGAATTTGATGGGCACATAGTAAGCTTTCAGAAATATTTACTGAATACTTATTTCTATTAGCTGTTATAGTTACTACAGTGAACATTTTTAAAATAATTACTTGGGGCTCAGTCAGTCGGTTAAGCGTCCAACTTCGACTCAGGTCATGATCTCGTGGTTGGTGAGTTAGAGCCCCACATCTGGCTTTGTGTGGATAGCTCAGAGACTGGAGGCTGCTTCGGATTCTCTGTGTCCCTCTGCCCCTCCCCTGTTCACACTCTGTCTCTCCGTCTCTTTCAAAGATAAATAAACATTTAAAAAATTTAAATAATTACTTAATCTGGTTGTGTTGTATTGGTTAAATTGGAGAAAGGATTACACCTTTAGTCCTTATGCAGAGTTAAGTAAAATATCACTGACAAACTGAGACAGTGTAATTTTTTTACATGCCACAAAAACCATATCCTGCCTTTATCCAACCTACTCAGATGGTTTATATCACTTTTAAAATTCTCAGATAATTTCCAGTTTGTTGTTTAAGCCCTATTTAATACTAACATTTCATAGCATTTTATAATTTACAGCATACCTTTACACGTTTTACCTCCTTGGATTTTCACCTCATCCCTTGACACTCCTTGGTACTATTACTCACATTTTATAGTAGAGAAAATGAAACTCATGGTTGTCCAAAATCATACAGCAAGATGGAGCTCTTAATTACCACACTGTAATTCTGCTTGGCCCTTTTTTATTATTCAAGTATAATTAACACACAGTACTATGTTAGTTTCAGGTGTACAATATAATGATTCAGCAATTCTATATGTTACTCAGTGCTTATCATGATAAGCATCCAATATGGTCCAATATGAGAATCGTCTTCACCTATTTTACCCTTTCCCCCCACCCACCCACCTCCTCTCTGTCAGCTATCAGTTTGTTCCCTATATTTAAGTAGCTGTTTTTTATTTGTCTCTTTTTTTCTTCATTTTATTTCTTAAATTCCACAGACGAGTGAAATCATACGGTATTTGTCTTTCTCAGACTGATTCACTTAACTTAGCAGTATACCCTCTGGGTCCATCATGTGGCTGCAAATGGCAAGTTTTCATTCTTTTTTATAGCTGAGTAATATTCCATTTTATATGTATACCACATCTTTATCCATTCATCTATCAGTGGACACTTTGGTTGCTTTGATACCTTGGTTATTGTAAATAATGCTGCAAAGGAGTGCATATA